GCTTGAGGCCATTGGTGATTTGCCTATTATTCAAGGAATTCTTTTTAAGGCTAAGGAGGTTATAATCTTCATATACAGTCACATACTTACCCTTAGCATGATGCACAAGTTTACAAAGAAGAGAGAGCTTGTGAGGCCTGGGGTCACTAGATTTACCACTGCCTACCTAAGTCTACAAAGCATGTATAGGAGGAGGATCGCATTAAGGTTATGTTTGCTTCAAAAGAGTGGAGTAGGTGTAAGTGGTCTAAAGATACCAAGGGAAAGAAGGCACAAGATAGTGTTCTTTCGAAATATTTTTGGCAGGGGGTGAAGCATGTGATATTAGTATTTCTTCCCTTGGTGAAGGTCTTGCGCTTGGTTGATGTTGATGAGCCCTCCATGGGCTTTATATATGATGCAATGGAAATGGCTAGGAATGAGATTGTAGAGAATTTGGGCAATGATGCAACAAAGTTACTACCCAATTTGGGAGATTATAGATGACAAATGGGATAGGCAACTCCATAGAGCATCGCATGCAACGGGGTACTACTTGAACCCCAAATTCTTTTATGCAGATGCGGATATTGAGTCAAAAGGGATAATTATGGAATGCTTAAATGAGTGCCTTGAGAAATTAGTTCCCGATTCACATATCCAAGATAAGATATCAACTGAAGAGCTGATTTCGTATAAGTGTTCTTTGATGTCATTTGGGAAAGATATGGTATTAAGACAGAGAAACAAAGATGAACCAGGTAATATACTTTTCATTTTCTTTTATAAATTATAATTTTCTTTCAAGTTTTCAACTTTCAAGTTCTGATAATGTTAAGGGCAAGCTTTCTATGCTTCCCCTACAGCATAGGGGTTCTATCCTCCCTTTATCCAATTGTCCATTCTGAATAGAGGGCTAAGATTGTCCCAATCACAATGGCACGTCTCTATACTATTTTATTTTTAATTTTTTTCCATAAATATTTTGACACCAAATTTTGGACATCCAATCCTCTATTAAACTCGCACTAGCGAAAAATATAAAAAAAAATATTTTCAATAAAATAAAATGACCAAAATACCCCTGAAAGATTCAAGAAGGTAAGAAGATCATAGACTCATAGTAGTTAGTAGTTACTTATGCATTTTTCCTTATAGGTGCATACAAAGAAAAGAAATGGACAATGCTTCAGATTGGCTAGTTGCTGACCTTGGAACTGGGGAGGTCTTCCTTGGGGAGGGTTTGACATGGGACATGGTCGAGGAGGCTTCGGGGCAAGCTTCTACTCCTAGGAGGGCCACTCGAGCAACTTTTTCTGCTGGTACTTCACACTCACAGAGGGAGATAAAGGAAGAAGAGGCAAATTCAGAAGAATCTTTGAAAGAAGAGGGGAATATGTTGAAGAGGATGATGATTCTGATGATGACGGCCTCGATTCAGATGCAGATGGAAGCAATAAAGATGATGATTCTGATTCTTACTGATGTCTTCACTCTTCTTTTGTAGTAACTTTATTACACCATCTTGGTTTGGGCTTTAGACATTTGGACTATTTTGTTATGTGGTTTATACTTTTTTTGCCTTTTTGGACTATTTTGTTGTGTGGTTTAATAGGTTTTTATAGTTTTAGAAGTCAGTATGTTGAAGACTTGGAGAGTTGGAGACTTGGATGTTATTATGGTTTATTTTATGGATATGGAATATGGAGAATATGAGAGTTGGAGACACAATATAGCCTATTAGACTTTTAAATGTTTTGTATGGTTTGAAATTTTGAATAAGTTTATTCTCAACCTGAGCTAGGTCATATGTTTGTATATAAAAACGCATGTTGCGAACTTGCGATATTTTCAAATGGAATAAATTACAAAATTTGACACAAATATATGCATATATGTTCATTTGGATAGCAAATACATGAAAAACTTTACACTACAAGGCGCCCGAGGTTCTGGGCGCCTGCCTAGGCACTGAGCAAAGCAAGCAGGCCGCCTAGCACTTTTTGAAACCTTGACCTGCAATCTATCCACTGCAACCCATGCTACTATTCTTAAACCCTTCATACCAAATAAATCAAACAATATAATATCATCCTACAAAAAACTTATTCAATCAGGATCCTTCATGGGGATGAGAACACCATCATTATTCCATCCTCTCAGATGCCTTTCTAGAAATTACTCCACATCAAGTCAGCCTCCAAAAACTTTCATCAACCTCTAGCCTCCAATGTAATATCCTTTCCAAGGATATTACACCCCTTAGTTCCACATACCCCTTTGCAATGTTTGTTCATTTTCTTTATCACCTATCGCTATATTAAATAATGGTTTAGTTTTTTCTAGCACAACAGTTGGTGAGAGAAATTGTTCTGCTGAAAATTTTGGTTCGTATATACTCAGAGTAGAGCTAGCATCCCTATGAGTGTCATGCTCACTCTTGCTTAGGATTGATAGAGATTGTGATGGTTGATTGTGGAGGACTAAGCAGAAGGGATGTTGATTTGATCTGATTGCGCAAGGAAATCAACAACTTGATGCAGAGAATTACACAGTTGTGGCATAAGTGAGACCAGCAACAATATGCCCTAAACGAGGAGGAACCTACATGGATAGATCCAAATTGTGAGGGTTTTAAGAAGATTGGCGCAAATCAGAGTCCAATTCTGACTAGGAACAAACTGATGATGTGTCAAGTTCAGTAGACGAGTTGGATGCGCAATGACATCGACGAGAGCATAATGTTGAAGGAAAACTACAAGTATCCAATCTCCAATTGGATTCAATGTTCTTGAATCAGTGGATGCTTCTATCTTTGATACTGCTCCAATTTTTTTTCGGGAAGGCTTTCTATGCTACCCCACCTACATATATAGTATATGTGACCCCTAGTCTCAGCCATCAAATCTAAGTAGATGGCTAAGATGGCTTGAGTCACAATATCACAAATTGGTTTTTAACCGTCAGATCTTGATCGGACGGCTCAGAGTTTTTTATTTTTAATTTATAAATCACTTAAAAGCAAATTTTGGGGTATGCATAGATCTGAAAGGATCGCACAAAATAAAAATAATAATGAAATATTTTCGGTGATGAACAAATACCAGAATGCCCCTGAAAATTGCAGGGGTATTTTGCTCATTTATTTTTATAGAAAATATTTATTTTTTAGTTTTCCAAGGTTCGCCCTAATTTTATGATGGGACACAAAAATTTCATCCAAAAACTTTTTGTAAAAAAAAATGAAAAATAAAACAGTGTTTGGCATGACATTTGGGTATTAACAATCGTAGCCGTTCAATTCAGATCGAACGGCTAAGAAGTGGGGTCATATATAACTTATATGTTGTTGGGACCACATAGAAACATTTCCCATTTTTTATAGTGGTTCTATTTTTGATAAAGAACTCGGTGATCTTATTTTTAATGAACCATTGGATCAACATGGAGAACTTGGAGTTCCTATCTATGACGAAGAACAAGGTGCTGGTGATGGTGATAGTCATCACAATGACGGTAATGACTGCTATAGCGGTGGTGGTAAGGAGGTAAAAGAGGAGGTAAAGTGCTATTTTTTCTCACCAATGGTGGAGCTAAGCTTTCTTGTTTCCAATTAGAGGGTTCTATTCCACTAAGACAAGCTACCACAGTTAGGTGCACCAAAATCCTCAACAACTTGTTCAAGGATATTTTTACCCATTTCAAAATTTGAGGGTGAGTTTTCCCCAGTCAAGGGCGAACAAAGGAGATTAAGAGCTAGGTGATTCAAAAAATTTAATATCATTTTTTTTTAATTTCATGGATGCGAGTGTACATTTATTTTTTATTAGGGTTGATATTTGAGGAATTATAATGTAGGGTTAATCTCCAACAATTAGTCTCCATAGTCTCTATTTGCACTTTTTTACTATTCAAGAATATTGTTCATGGTACAGCTCACAGGTCACACTATTCACAAATATTATTCATGAGCTACCAGTATATTTCTCGAATTGTAGTATTATTTAGGGTTATTTTAGAGTCCTAAATTGTTCACTTGGATCTCAAGTTAATTTTAGGGTTTCATAGGCTAATAATAGGCAAAACATTACATTATGGGACTACCGGTGTATTTATGGAATTTTAGTATCGTTCAGGGGTATTTTAGAGTTCGAAATTTTTTACTTGGATCTCAAGTTAATTTTAGGGTTTTATAGGCTTATAACAGGCAAGACATTACATTATAGGATGCTTATCTTATTGAAATGAATTTTATTTTATGAAAGAAAGTTCTTCTCTTAGCTCGATTTAAAGCCATGCTTTTTCTCCATTATTGTTTATTTTTATTTGTTTGAGATTTGGGAAAAAGAGGATTTATTTTCCCACATTTCCTTCCTGTATCAAGTCATCTTTCTAAACAATTTGCAGAGGTCCAGTAACCAACGGAAGAAAGAGTCTAGCCCCTTTGAATCTGGTCAGTCCATAGGTTTAAAAGTTCAGATGCAAAGGAGTCAGATGGAAGATTTTTTAGAGTGGCGCTGGAAGGTTTTCTTGTTCACTGGTTGTCTTCAGATCCACAAATATATTGTTTACCTCATGGATCGGAGGCGAGTTTTTGTCATCTCTATAACATCAAAGTTTGAGTTGGTCAAGTGGATGGGGTGGTTAACGATGCAAAGCAAGACCGCCCAAGGTTTCAGGGAAGCTGAGAAATGGCTTGATTGTGCTAGGTTGAGGTGCTCTAGAAGATATGATGACTAATAGTGATGGGACATGTAGGCAGAGGGAAGCCTAGGGAAGAGCAGGCTATTGCCTTTCATAAGGATGTTTCACTAAGCCATCAGGAAGCATTCACATTAATCTTCCGCAAGTTAAAAAAATTATCTTCAGCAGTCTCAGAGAATATAACCGATTCAGCATTGGGAAACAATGAAAATTAAGAATATATCCATGTTCATAACATATCTACAATGAAATACAGGCCAGAGTTCATCAGAACACAAAAATGGAAGTCAAACACGATAGAGTAGCCTTAATATTACCTCATGAATGATATCCTTCAGTGCCGAATGGGTTTCTGATAGAACCTCTTGCATGAAAAAACTTTGTATCTTTTCAGTCAAACCAGCAGTGTCACCAATTAAGGCATAAGCATCGACAACCTGCAAAGCATAAGAAAGTTATAGCTACTGTATTAATCATAGATTGACATTGCAAGAAAACAACTAAAAGATCCTCCCATCCTCATTTCTGCAGCATTTCCCCACCACTAGCAACAGTCTACACTTATCATCTTCTTGACTAGTCCTCTTTGAGCTAAGCCCCAAACTGGTTGGTGATGATCAGGCCTAATCCTCTAAAACCAAAAGGTACGGTAAGGACTCTGGTATGAACAAGATGCACCTGGGACGAGGGGCATGGCTTTGGTGGTTGCATTGGGTACTGAAAGTTAGGTGTTAAACTTCAGGAGCCATCCTATCAAGAGAGAACAAGTACCAGGCTGTTGATGGTCTAGTTAATGTTCAGAGATGTCAAAACTATGCAGTATTAGTGGTGCCAGAGCAACCCCTTTTGTCAAATTTCATCTTTGGCTTCCTAAGACCTCTTCCTAAACCAGTGGTGCCAGAGCAAGCCATTTTTTCCTTTACTTTTATTGTTAAGCAGCCATTATAAGTGCGGTTCATTCTCTTTAGGCTTGCTAATGGTAGGAATCTGGATATTATTGCAAGAAAAACCAGTTGCTTTGTAGCAGGCATGATGTTGCATGCAAAGAATTGGGACGAAAAATGAGTGGCAGCAAGTGTGACTGGGACACTGACACATAATGGAGGCCCACAAGTGTCAGAGGTGTTTAGCTTTGCAAACTTAGTCCCTCGAATAAAAAAGTTATTTATGTCAAAAATCCAAATTTTTATTTTGAAAAATACTATTCTGGTAATTCTAAAGTGGAACTCAAATTATTAATTACAAAACACATTTAACCCCAGGGAGCAAGTGTACAATGTGCACCTGCAGGAGAAAAATACACTGAGAAAGTTTAACATGAAGAAAAGGAAAATGCTATATCCATCAGCACATTATATGCACATACGTGCATTATGTGCCTGCAGCTGCACATTGTACAGTTGCTCCCTTTGGTAAGATGTGTTTCTTTTTTTTTTACCCTGAAATTTTGGAGTCTACTTAGAATCAAGAAGAAAATGGTTTGGATTTTTATCTAAATCTTTTATTCAAGGGACTAAGTCTGCAATGTAATCCTAGAGGAGCACACTATGCTCCCTCTTACCTAAGGTGTTTATTTTTTAATGAGGGGCCATACTTTGGAACTTGAAGTTCTAAACTAGTGCATCACTTGAAAAAAAAAAAAAAATTGTGTGACTCGGTCCAGAACTTGAAGTTCCAAACACGTAGTCCACTCAATAAAACTATGAGTGCCCAATTCGGAACTTGAAGCTCCGAACCAGTATGTCACTCAAAAAAAAAAAAAACAACCAAGGGATATCTGGGTTCCGAAGCTTCAATTGTTTGAGAAAATTAAAAATAAAAACTAAAACAAAAAGGGGTATGAGGGCTCTTGTTATATAATAGAAATCTGCATGTCCGCTGTTGGAAGGAATTTGCAAGATATAGAAGGGACATCAAGAATAACGCAAGATAACCGACTCTAAAGACTTTATAACTCCCAAAAGAATTGAAGTAATAGGATGTTAAATGACCAAGAATCCAGGTGTCAGAAGACAAAAAAGGAAAACTGTTTGTAATCCTGTAGAAAGAAACAAAAGGAATAAAAGAGCAAGAAGAAATCCAAACAAATCATATATACATTCCAAAGTCCAAACCATACACAAGATATAAGCAAAAGAAACTAGATCACTAATTATTTAAAGGTAAGAGTGCCTACTGTCAAGTAGCTTTTTTCTTTAAAATCTTGACAAACCCCCAAAAGGAGAGAATCCAATTGCTGCAGAGTCTTTCCAAGCCAGGCCTACAAGAAGAGTATGGTTAGAGCTCAAAATATTTCACTCTGTATCAGTAGGATACTAATGTCTGCCATAAAACCCTCCTCACTTTAGTAAGTCATAGAAAGTGAAGATATGGTTCCATAAATACCTTTCACTACAAAAGAACACATTAGATTTTGATTTTTTTTGCACAATCAAACGAATCTATGAAACATATGAATGAAAACGAAAAACAAAGTATGTCTAAACCAGTTCAATAGTTACTCCAAGAGGAGTGTATATCACCTCTACACCACGGCTCATTTCTTGTACAGCAGAAAGTTCTGCATGACTGTCAAGAAGCTGTAGATATTCTGACAGCACCTGAAACGCCTGCACAGCAAAGCATGCAAAGGAAGTAACTACACTAGCCTTCAAGGTCGTTCTTTGTGATATAAGAGTTTATAAACCAAAACAGGAATTACTAGACTAAATAGAATAAATAGATACAACTAACCCACTACTCAGCCACCAAAGGATTGAATAAACCAACTGAAGAACACACCCGACGATAACTTCCATCTTCCACATGTGTGTTAAGTGCCCCTTGCATCTCGAGTGTATGATGAAGTTGTGTAAGAATAGGAAGCAAATCCTGCAACCATATTAGGGTGCGTTTCTCATTAGATGAAATGCCCATATGTGCACGGCAACAGTTCTTGGAACTAGAACTCATAATAGAAATTCTTGTAGAAATTATTTGAAATCCTGGATCCCCAGCTATCATAAACTAAACCAGTGGCGAGATTAAGTCCCAGAAGACACGATTTGAAAAGGACCGACATAGTTCTCAATTATCATATCAAGATACTTTAATCATTCTTTGATTCATACTTGAAGACAGCACCTTAAAATTGAAAATACATAGATATAACATTTGAAATCCTAAGCAATGCTAACTAGCCTATCTACGATGGCTGGACACGGTTCTAGAATGACTACAAAAGTAATTTAAATCTTAGCAGAACATGATCTTGACACAACCAAGAAATTAGGAAGACCTCATGCTTCCAACCACCAAAATATGGGTCCAACATGCAATCAAACCATAACACTTCTTCAATGAAATGCATATCCCCTACCACTTGCATTTTTTGACACCCAGGTCCATCTATAACTTTCCATGTATCAAGCTCAATGACTCCCATCATCCCACTAGAACCTAATTCATTTCTTCAGTTTGACCACATCCCTGTCTCTAACTACACCAAACCCCCTCTCCAATACCACCCACCCAGCAGGTCCAGTTACCCAATCTAAAACTCCATTATGCTGATGTCATCACCCAAATAAGAATCCAGATATGGCTCATGAGGCAGTCACTACCCACACAAAGAACTGATTTTCTTAATCAGTTAATGTTATGCATCTGGACTTTTCCTTGTTGAAGGTATCACACCATAGTAAACGAGGAAAATTATACAGAATAACATATGATCTAGTTTTATCCAATATAACCAGTGCCTTAAGGAGCTCCATCAAAGCACTAGAGTATCAACCTGATTGTGTTGAAAGAAGTTAATAATGCCAATGAACAGACAATAGAGGTTGAGGATTGGGTGCTCAAAGGACATCGAGTAGGCATTTAAGGCCATTACAAATACAAGGCCCGCTACAAGATCATGCCAACAGTTTCAGAGATCATGAAGGAGGAGACTGACTTGGAGACGACTCTTGGAGAAGAATACATGGAAGCGATGACTCCAATTATGATGCCCTGGCATTAGATCCAGAATTCTTTTAACTAAATTAGAGTCAAGTTCAGTCTCATGTATCTCGCAGGCTAGTAATCATGAATTGCTTGACTGTGGAGTTGCCTTTGCCTCTATGTCATGTGAAAATGCTTCTAAGTAATTCTATAATATCTCATTGCCAATGTGCATAGAGCCTTAACATCCTAAATTTGTTAGCATTTCAGTTGTGGATTCATATAAATTATCCTTAGATTTAACTAGTATGAAACTCGGATTACTGCTACACATGGCAATAGGATACATATTTCCAGATTTTCAGTGATTCTTTATTTCTTTGATAATCCACGAACACGAGTTTCTATGGTTTTATTACAGAATAGAACTTGTCAAATATTATAACAAGTATCAATGAATCATGAAATTTTACCTACAAGTTCATTATAGTTCTATAGAATTACATACATTTTTTTATTGTTTTTGTTTTTGTAGAAAAATAGTCATATATATATTGTCACCATTAATGACCAAGACTATCAAGATAATACATAGATGTTCAATAAAAAGAGAAAAATAATATGTATATGATGGAGGGAAAATTTATTCTTATTTTTAATTTTTATTCAATTTCGAAGGATGCATATTGCAGTTTTAGTTTTAGGGCTTATTTCTATGGTTTCTTAGGGTTTCTAACACTTTCATGGGGCGTGAATAGAAAAAACAGAATGCGAATAGAGTCAGCAAGTCCTATCTAAGGTTTTCGGATTACTTTTTTGTGCAAGCAAAGCCCGATCCACTCAAATCTGACCTGTTTTAATACCTATTGAACTATTTTCGGCCTCTTTTCTCAAATTTTTGCATCAATATATCATATATTTCTTCTATTTTTAAGATGTTACATATTTTATCTTTCAAAATTTTAACCAGCTTGGAAAGTCATGCAACTGCTTGGAGCCCTCTTGGTGCCTCTAAGCACCTCCCTAGGATTTTGTCTTAGAACAACATAACTCCCAAGGATTTTGCCTCAGAACAACATAAGTGCGACTAATCTTAGAACAACAGGATTGGATTTTGATGGTCTCAGGAGACCAATCAAGCGCCACATCTCTAAGAGTTAGGATCCCATACCATCTTTTTTTCTTTTTCTTTTTTTTTTCTTCTTTTTTTTTTTATTGAAATGTTTAGGATTCCACACACGTTAAGAATTTCACACACTTAGGCAATTTTTTGGATAAAATCTAGTGGAGAGTCTCCACTTAATAATCTAAGCTCTAGCAACCATTGCTAGCTGATTAGTCACCCTTACAGCACATAAATCAACTTCAAGTGTCAATGAAAACCCAAGGAATGCAAATTGCATCACCAAAGCCTCCCCTGTAGACTAATTCAACCTTTTACTTAAGAGTAAGTCAACTGAGATTTTTTTTCCCACTTAAATTATTAGAACTCTGTTATGGAAGAGGCTAATATAACAATTCCAACTACCACTGAAACAGTCATATGAAAGTAACTTTATCACGAGACTTCATCTTTATGCAACATGCTTCAGAAAAAAGAAATATGCCAATAAAAGCAAAGAATACAAAACAACATTCCTAAGAAGAATTTGCATAGTGCATAGCAATTAACTATCCCCACAGAAAAATCAAGTACAGGTTCCTTGGAAAAAGCTACTGAAAACACAAAAATAAAAAATAAATAAAAAATAAAGAGAAAAATAAAATAAGCAAAATCATGTTGCGTCTTTGGCTAAAACAAAAAGTAATATAAACCAAATGATTTGAGGATTCTACAAGGATAACTACCAGAAGAGCCTGTTTTCGTCTTGCGTTTGATGTCACCACAAGGTCCCGTGATACCTCATGCACTGATGAACCCAGATGCCTCCTGCCATTCTGTAAAGGTAGTGCCACATAGATACAATGATAAGTACAAGCTTGCAGGTTATAGCAAAGAGAACCACATAAAACAATTAACCCAATATTAGGATTAATTGAAATATACAATTTGAAGGGCCTCAAGATTTGATAAAAAAACAAGTGTTGTCACAATCCACTATCTATAATCATTTTCTATATTCATACTAACTGCCACCACCAACCCTGCATACCATGCATATGACATTTGCAACCTTCAAGTCTTGCTCAAGCTCCATTACTAGCTGCATTCCCTTTACTGACAAAAAGAAAACAGATGAAAGTAAGAACAAGCCACTTCAAATGATATCCAATGGGAAGATAATCTCTTTGAGTAAATGTAATATAAATTCTAGTACAAAACTAAACTATATATGAAGACAAGAAACACTACAGAGGCATGACTCTAAATAGAGAAAAATACTAAGAACGTATTCATTTCAACGCTCTTATAAATATATTCTAGAATGCCACCCCTCAAACACATTTAGAACTTAATGTTTTCATAGTATGCTAGAGAAAATCTTATTTAACTTGGTATCTGACGCAAATCCCTTTGAAAAGGTACATAAAATGAGTTTGTGTCGAAGAGAGATGTTCCCATGTCTAGGTCTTCTATAGCTATCCTAATCACCCGACTCCACACATGGAACACGAAAGTGAAAAAGCTTGTACTTGAGATCCTCTTGAGTTGAAAAATCACCGTTTTGCCCATTAATGAGGCTCGCAAACTGCTGCACCAGCTGCTGTACTTCCTTTCAAGTTCCTTCATTCTATCATCTATGGGATCATAGAGTGGATCCACGAAAATCCCTCTTGTACAGCCCCTTCTTGCTACCATGGGTTCATCCCCGAAATCACAATCCTTAGACAAATAATCAACAAAAACTGCTAAAATCTGCAAGATCTTGGTTGTTTTAGTAAAACTTCAGTAAAAATCAGTAAACCCTAAACCCCACTATAACTTCTCTGCTATGTTGTTGACCCAGGGGCCAAAACAATCAATGCTACATCAACTTCGTACACTGCTACAGTACCTTCTGTGTAGATCACGGGCTCTGATACCAATTTGTTGTAAGGAAACTTGAGGGAACAGTAAAATCAGCAAAGATCAAACCAAATACAAGCACAAATCGAAGAAACCTAAAGTTTCTTCTCCATACTCAAGCTAGGGTTCCAAAAGCATTAGCTTTTCTCTCTTTCAATTTCTAAACATCATGTAGAATTGCCCCCTTAAGGCCCCACACACCTCTTATATATTATAATTCAATGTTCAAAGACATTACATGTTCATAATATTATTAAAATGACCTATATATCCTAACTTAATCTTAAATTTTGTAATAACAGTTTTACCCCTATGAACAGTACCCATGAACAGTACTCATGAAATAAATAAAAAAACTATAAAAACCCCAGAATTCTTTAGAAACTAAAAACCCTAAAAATAAATCCTAAAACTAAAATCAAACTATACATCCTTTAAGAAATTAAAAATAAGTATAATTTTCCCTCCATCAATTTTCTAAGCTAATGGAACTCGAGACAGTTTTGAGTCAACTCAACTCAAGTCCTTGAACTTTGTCTTTGCCTTAATTATATAGTTGCAATTCAAATAAGAATTATTGTATGACATTATGAATAAAACTGCATTCCAGCACCTAAGCCTAGTATATGATCTTTGATTTGACCACTAGGTATTACTAGGAGCGCATTGTTACCTCCTTTCTTTTTTATTTCATTTAGCCATGACAGTAGTTACTTTTCTTCAGTTTTTCTCTTTTTTCCAAAACGGTTGTTACCCATTTGATTTGCATTTTCACATTTTTCATTTAATTTCTCTTGCCAGAGTAAAAACAGGGTTTTGTAAAAACACATCAGAACTAGTATTTGACGGGTTTTTTTCAGTCTGACCTAGTTTTAACTGGTTCGATCGTCCAAACAAAGTGACCAATTTTTTTCTAATATGTTGCATGTTCTTAAACGAAAACAAACATCATCATCATCATCATCATCATCATCATCAAAACCTTTTCCGAACCAACTGGGGTCAGCTATAAGAATCCTTGTCCACCATTCTGCTCTATCAAGGGTCATAACCTCAGTTAGGCCATGAGTCCCCATATATTTTCTCACTACTTCCAACCATGTCCTTTTGGGTCTACCCCTTGTCCTTTTTTAGCTTTCCACTTGAACTAACTCGCACCTCCTAACAAGTGTTATTCTCAGTCTGCACCACATACCTAAATCTACTTTCTCTCATTTTATCAACTATTGGTGCCACACTTAAATTCTCACGAATATATTCATTTTGAATTCTATGATTCTATCCCTTATTACTTTGCCACTCATCCATCTCAATATCCTCATCTCAGATACACTCATTCTATAGGTATGTTTTTTCTTGACACCCAACATTCCGCCCCATAAAGCAAAGTCGGTCTCACACTGTCCTATAGAACTTGCCCTTCAGTTATCTTCAAAGATTATTCATATTTCTCTTAATATTTTTAAAATCCAGTCAAACAATTTTGATTGGTATCCACACCAGTTCTGACTAAACGAGACACCTCACTAGTTATATGGCTGGTCCGATCATGATAACACTGGGCATAACTTTTTGTTGCAATATCATAATCACCATTATGACCCCATTTCAGAAATGGTAGTGAAACCTCTATAACATCCAAACTCGCAATGCGATATTTACCCAACAAACTAGGCTAAAAGAATACCCTTGATGACCAGAATGTCGTCTTCGAAATTTGTATGTGTTGTTGGACTGCATCATCTTTCATATTTACAGACAACTCCCCATCAACTTCCGATCATTTGTGAACTTCAAGGCTTCAATATAAAATTTCTTCAATTCCTCCTTTGGAATCCATCAATTCTCTGACTCAAGCTTGCCTTTCCATTGGACCAAACAATGATTATAGAAACTGTGATGGGTAGTAATGGTCTAAATATCAAGGACCATCTAGATCCGATTAATAAAAGCACCAAGGGGATTGAGGGCTATTTCTAGTCAGAGTTGGAAACTATTTTATGCCTCATGACTATGTGATAGCCAAAGCATTGTACGTATATATGATTGATTCAGATATGCGCTCGATGTTTATGTGTATTTTAGTGTTGTATGCAGACTTTAAGGCTTTGAGAGGACATAAGCCTAAATCCCTGACATTGTGACCTTCTCATAGCATGTGCATGAATACTCGCAAATGGGAAGCCGCTCTTCCAGATGAACCACAAAAAAGAGATATGCACATGTGCCTACAGAGGAACCATTGTATCTAGTTGAGTGCATGTCCTTGGCGGCACCTGCAATCCACTATAATGTGCACATTGTTTTGACTTTAATAAGCCAAGCATAGGCCCCTGATTCAGTGTTCGAAAAAGTGGACTGCCCAGCGCCTAGGCGGTCCAGAAAGCTGAGGCGCATTGTCCAGGCCTAGGTGGCCAACTAGGCAGCAGGCCTTGGGCGCTATCTAGGCGGAACCCGCCTAGGTGTGGAAATTCTTTTTTTTTTTTAGTTGTATTGATTTTTTTTGAAACATAAAGGGTTTGAAGGATGGGCTTTAAGTTCATTTCAAACCTAAACCCACAAAAACCCATTTTAGATAGAAAGAAACCTCAAAAAGACTAAATTTTGTGACTTTCATTGGATCGAAGTGCTTCTCAAAGTTACAAAAAACGGATCCAAATATCAACCAGGTAGATTTGATTTAGTTTTGGAGTTTTATAATCCTACTAGAAGGTGTTTTTTATTATTTTAGCATCAAAAAACATTTTAGAGGTGGGAGTTTCGAGTTCGAGCAATCAAAATAAGTGCAAAATTTTATTTTTTAGATTGCTTGTTTTATTTTGAAATATCTTCTTCAAGATCTAGTCAAAGTGGAGATCCAGGTTGGAAATATGGATATAACCCGAATCCAAATGACAAAAATTGCATTAGATACAATTTTTATGACAAAGATACGAAAGAGAAAATAAACCGGTTTTAGAAGCATCTTGCCGGTATTAAGGGGGATGTTGCCCCTTGTAAAAATGTTCCTGAAGCTATCAGAGAGGAGATTAAAAAATATATGAGTTTAGGGAAACAAAAAACAGGAATAAAATCCTTGTCATTTGAATAGATCTATTTTTGCTACTTCTAGAAGAAGTGATCCGGGTTGGAAATATGGTTATAACCCAAAACCAAAAGATAAAAATTGTATAAGGTGTAATTTTGTGAAAAAGATATCAATGGGGGTATTAACCGATTCAAGAAACACCTTGCTGGTATTAAAGGAAAAGTTGATACTTGTAAAAAGGTTCCTGAAACTATTCGGGATGAGATTAGACAACTTCTAAATTTAAAAGAACCAAAAATGAGCCTAGTTCTACAGAAATATCTTCTCAAGTTTCTTCTAGAAGTGGTGATCCGGGTTGGAAGTATGTTTATAACCGAATCCGAATGACAAAAATCGTATTAAATGTAATTATTGTGGAAAAGATACTAATGGGGGCATTTACCGGTTTAAAAAACACCTTGCCGATATTAACGGGGATGTTGCCCCGTGTAAAAATGTTCCTGAGGTTACCAGGAAAGAAATTATACAATATTTGGGTTCAAGAAAGCACAAAAACATAGAAAATGGTAGAGCAGCCAAAACTCCTAGGGCCTCATTTGCACATACTAGTAAGAGGAAGGTAGAAAAAGAGGAAGAAGAGGCAGATTCAGAAGTAACAGAGGAGGACGAGCGTTATATTGAAGAGGGAGTGACTCTTCTGATGATGGCCTTGATTCTGATGCATATGATGAAGCTGACCCTATTCCTTCTGATGATGATGATGACTGAAGACTCTTGGTGTTGAGTGTTGATTGTTGTGTTAAATGTTGACTATTGTGTCCTAGACTGTATATTTTCTGAATTTCTGTATATTTTTTTTTCTTATTTTTAGTTTCTACTTTCTAGTTTCTAGTTCTACTATCTAACTTTTGTGTGTACAGTCTACAGTGTATCAAACTATCAGTGTATGCTTGTATGGTTTTACTGTTTTAGCATTGTATGAAATATTGATTATGGTCCTATGGATTATCAAAATTCTCTTCTCGACTTCTATCTTTTTTTTTAACTAGGATTATGGTCTTATGGATTATCAAAATTCTTATAGATTATGGTATTATAGATTATCAAAATTCTTATGGATTAATCATTATCAGTCATCAGTCACTAATCAGTTTTTTTTTTTTTTTCAACTGAACCGCCTAGG